GTGTATGACACATTAGGTTCCCGATTACGATACCTAACGACGTGAATTATTATTTCACTTGATAAGTTATTTGTTGTAATTTAATTAGTTACAAACATATAGTGCTAGGAAATTGTTTAATGGATTTGTTTATAATTTGAGCTACAGAATCGTGAATCTGTATTTTTATAATTTTTTTCTTCACATTTTAATAATTCATCAATGGCATATGAAGATGCAGATTGGAAAATGGCTGAAATCACATGACAATGCACTAATGGATGATATCACTATTAACGTTGTTGATGGGAAGGTGAAATAGCCAGTGTCACTCAAGCTTCAGGATGTAGAATATGGAGAATTGGATTTAGAGCTTAGTGTCTCATTTGGCAAGTCAGAGTCTATTGCAAGCGATGGTATTCAAGAAGAAAGAGAAGAAAAAATCTTGTTTAGTATAATCCAAATTATTTAGTACTCCACACCAAATATGTTATGGGTGTATATAACTTAATTTTCATTTCCCATTGACATTTCGAAATAAACTTTTATGGAAGTTGACCCATACAAGATAATATTGTATTCTTTAAGATTCTTTCTTCTTTTATATTTATATTTTAATTATGAGAGCATTTATCATTCGTATAAGATGTTGTTATTTTGATCGAGGAAATAATTTTACATAGACCCAAAAGCACGATTGGTTCACCATTAACGCCATTCATATAGTTGTTTTTTAGTTTACGAAAACGAGGCAAGAGATGAGAGCACAGCTGTTTTCAATGTGTCTTCAGGTGGACAAAACAACTTCTTCATATAATGGTATATAGTAGAAAATGCATTGTTTTCTTTATTCTAGTAATACAAGGGAAATAAAAATTATCTTTATTTGTTAAATACGCAATTAGGCAACTTGAGTATACTATAATAATATATAGTACAACCTTAATCTAGACTTGACTAACCTTAAGCAATATTGATAACACTGCACCCCAATAATAGATAAAATAATGATTTTTCCCTATTCTTTAGTCATTTTCCACAATTAATGTTTGGCACGGCATCTTGGACATGACAATCGCACAAAAAGATCGAAGATCCTAAATAGTCCCAAGTTCTACATTGAAGCTGCAAAATGGTCTTATGACTAGATTTTCTTCTCCAACTATAAGTTTGAAATGAAGGTATAATAAATTATGTAGTCCTTCAAATTCAAAGCTATGCAAAAACTAAAATGTCATTTTTTGCAGGAGATGACCAAATGCACTTTGTCACAACTTCAGGCAATGACTTATCAGAGTACCACCCTCTTGGCAAGCACTCTGTACCTACATACAGCACGACTCGGTCAGCGTATATCCAAACACTACTGTCAAAAGGTCAACCACACTGCAACCTTCAAGATGTTGTAGATTTCTCAAGCAAGGATAAAACTTCTTCGCGGCTTCCATCCCCTGGGCTGCGTCTGGTACTAGCGCAACAGTAGAGAGTTGCGGCTCTGGCTGCACGACCCCGACATGGCCGATGTCACCATGCATGACACCATAAACAATGTCAAAGCTACCTTTGAAGCTACTGCTTTGTATGCCATTACTTTTATCTATGTAACTTCTCAAGAAGTGTACTCAGAAGATTATGATTTTCTGAAGGATATTGAATTGGATACGTAAGGGTGGTGTTAAATAACATTACTTTGATTAATTAGATATGTATTTAAAATGAAAATGTTACACTAAAATAAATGTGTTGCCTCTTAATATGAAGTGCGTTTCAATTCTACTTTTAAGTATTGTTATGCATGTCATTATTATTTGCTTTTCATTAGAGATGAATAGTTTAAAAAATTGGAGGTGACGTAATACAACGACCCAAATTTTTAAAATTCAAATCGCTACCAAAAGTTTCTTTAAAAATTTAGCAAGTTGACAATGCAATTATATATAAAATCATGTATTTGCAGTAATCAAAGTTATGTAGAAATTTTCAAATCTTTCATTTAACTTAACGAGCGTATGCCTAAAAAAATATACAACAAAATAATTTATTATGGAATACTTCTTTTTATTTATTTATTTTTATCGATATACGTAGAGTAATTAAATTGTAAACAGCATAGGCAACCACATTATCCTTAAATTAATGTAGCATTCAGGTATCCACTATTTGATGTATATCATATATGATCGTGCAGCATAGTATTTTCAACTAAACTTATACGTTGACTCTTTCACTCCTGAAATTAACGGGCATGTATGGAGCGACCCAATGGTTAAAATTTTAAGGGCAATGACATCAAATCTTCTGACTTAGTTATAAAAAACAAGCCCATGTAAAGGGACAAAATGGATGTGCACATCAAGCAAATTATGAATCGTTAGCTTGCATATACCAAAAAATCACTTGGATCTTAACAGTAGAGAGATCCAGATCATGCAGCATAGTATTTAGGCTTGATAAACTACCAAGAAAAGGAAAATGGAGGAGGATACAAGTGGAGAAAGAAAATACATATGGACAATAGTTGGGACATAGCATACGAGTGTTTGAGTCACATTTCATTTTGGATAAATCTCAGATTTTTAGTAGATAAAAAATTGATGAAACACGTGGTTAAAAAGTTTATAAAAAATTGTTGGTCTCAAGAAATATGTTATTAAAATTAATTATTAACTTTAACTTAATTATCTACCTTTTTTAGTAAAACCAAACATGGACTAA